GTTCTATGGCAAAATGAAGATAAACACGGCCTAAGACCTATATATATCAAGTTTGGAAAACTCAAAGAGGTGCTAGCTTGGTACCCTCTCATTGGCCCATCTTCCGACGCTTATATCATTTTATTTGGATGTCGCATGAACGAATGGTTAAGAGCGCTAGAAACTATATTCCACGACATTCAATTTTGTACATAATATGTCCCAATAAGACCTCATATAACACACGAAATGTATTGCTCAAAAGGCTTTAGTGACACACCTACTTGTCACCTATGCAGTCTCGCGAAACTGCAAATATCTCTCTACTACGATGTCGTATCAACAAAAGGTTTAATGCATTAGAAAATAGACTCGTAGATATTCAATTTTATATGTGGATCATCCCGTAATTTCAAATATATTGGGAGAAAATCTCTGCAACATTTGACCTAATTTTCAGCACATTTACGAATGTAACTTGTGATGACTTTTGCCAACTTTTGTTCCACAACTCGCTTGACTTAAAAATGTAACACACGACTATCATAAACCTAAAATAAATCATAATATAACCTCATTATCATTTTAATCACCCTATTCTTATCCCAAGATTATATGTTATAATATTTCAACTTGTCGACTTTCGGCGAAACTTATTTTCTTCAGTTTGCTTAGCTTCTAAGTCTTTCAACTCTCTTGGTACTTGTTATCTATGATCTTAAAGATTTGTAACCTCCAAGGTAACATGATTAACTTACCATCATTTCTGATCTTACATCAATTGACTTATGATGTACTATTACGTACGAAAATATGGGGTATAACATCATTCCCCCCATGGGAACATTCGTCCTCGAATGTTAACTGATGTGCTTATCAGTCTCATAACCTATAGCTCTTGCGAATAATTTAATATTGTCCTTTCCATCTAGGCAATTGTTTTTTGAATAAATTCAAAGACTAGGTCATTCCCCCCCAGGCCTCTTTCTCACACCACGACTTGTGATCGAAATTCTTCCAATCTCTTAACTGTTGCTACATTTTGTCATGCAACCTATAGGACTGCCTATGCTACTCTTCTCTCTTTTTTCATCCAGCTTTTAGCCAATCTCTAGGCCTCACTTCGTGAACATATACAGAACTATGACAAGCTGCCCCTCTAGGAATCTATAGGTGTATTGAAATTCTTCACTCGGTACTTTGTCAAACTTACGACTATTTCTATATCTTATTTCATAGCCTCAATTATCTATACTTATGGCTTTACTACAACTAGGTAGGTCATACTATACCATAACTCTTACTTCGGTTTTTTTATTACCGAGGTCTGCTACCCAACTCTAGGTTACTCTCTCGTTGCTTATCTATATGTATAAATCTAAGTCCTTTAGTGATTCCTCATTACTTTTCATCTTAAGAACGACGGCTTAATATCATCTCATACTTTGTACTTTTATTCATCTATTGGTGATTCACCTTAACGTTGATCTATATTCTACCACTGATAATTTGAAATCTCTTACGTAATACATTATCACTAAGGCTCACGTTGCATCGGGGAATATTTGAAGTGATTTTCCTGATCCACCTAAGAAAAATACTATACTTCAATAACCGTATTTCATGGCATCCCAACGTGATTCATCTTATGGGGATATTCTAATCCTGTGCAATTCATAAAATCCCTTTTCTTTAAATCATTACTCAATTAAAGGCCTAGATGTCATCCTCTTATCAATCATAATTATACCCTTATTTTACTACCAGGGCATCATTTCATCTCTTCTAAATGCACCTAGTCTTAGACTCCTCCAAGTTAATTCAAGCTATATTGATCTTTCTTTAACTTACGAAAACCATCAGCTCTCTTGTTTTGATGGGCTTAATCCCAAGGCCTTACCTATTCTTGTCACCTTCTCACTCATCTTTACTTATCCTTACTTCTATCTACCTAAATCCTTGTCGCTCTAAAATATTTTAGCTTGCGACCTACACATACCTATTCATACTACTCGCAATCTTCCTTTAAATTGCTAGCACCATAGATTTTCTTTCGTGCCTTCTCAGTTGTCTTTAAACATAAGCAATTACTTTTACTGGTCGTTCTACCACTTGCTTCATGAATACATAGGTTATCTCACTGCCCACAAATACTGGAATTTTTTGTAACTCATATGATCTCAAATATCACCTTTTGATTTTTTTTCTTCCCGTTCATTAGGCACGATAGGTGCCACTTTCTTATGGAGTGCATACAATGTTGTTGTGAGAGTGTTGTTACAAGACCATTTCTTCTTTATGTCACTATGCTTAAGTTGAAGCCTTTTTCCTTATTTCCTCAGCTAGTCTTTCTTTGTAGTACTTAAGGGAGGCCATTTGATTCATGTAAAGTAGCGAGCTTATTACATCGTATACCCGAAAGAATATTTGATGTTCTTACTCGCCTATAATTATCCTTAGTTATTTACCTCCACGCCCTTGTGCTCGTAGGGTTGCTTCAGAACTGAAATTTATGACTGTCTTCCCTATGGCACCGTCTTTTATTTTCATAAAACTTATACAGTATCTTTAACAACCCCAACTTCTATCTGAATATTTCTCAAGGATTACGATGCCATATCTGCGAGACTGAATTCACTATATTAGGGTTCACTATGCTTATCTTGTACAATTTGCTGATTTGTCTGTATCCTCTTGTCTAGCCATAAATACGCTCTTCCTGAATCAACTACTAACTACTCGTTGGTCCATTCTCATATCTATATTCTGCGTAATCTCTTTTGGGTTATGTCCTTTGTCTTAACTTACCCCTTGCATTAGCTCCTTATGTATCAAGTGTTCATTTACACTTATTTATCAATAACATCTAGTGCTAGAACCCTTATTGCCTCTCCCCGGCGTCATGCTTGCATAATGTTCTGGAGTCGTATCATATCCGTAGGATCTGAGTAAATGCAATGTCATTCCTTTCAACTTTCTACCACAATCTTCCTTTACTATTCCATAGTTACCTGAACCACATAACTCCGACATAATACCATATCACACCATATTCCCCCTTTAGGGGAGTACTAATATTTAATGCTATGAAGATTTACCTATAATATTTTACCTCTTCATCTTTGGCGTCTTTTCACATCATCACAGACTCTTACTCGCCTTGCCGTAATCCTTCTGTACCAGGGATAACCGAATTTCTTACGCACAAAGGTGACATCTAGTGTAACTAGCACACTTAGTCCCTTAAGCTTAACTCTACTCACAGTGCTTGCTTTAGGGAAGCGTCGTCCTGAATGACCTTTAAAGGTTATTCTTTTGTTGTCCATTCTATTATCGCCGGAACGCGATCTCTGAAGTTCTCACGATGCCAACCATTACCAAATCCTTCGGTCCCTAATTCACGTTCAGTTTATCTTGTTCACTGGCCCATACTAATTTTTTTTTTATTCTGGGGGTCTAACTTTTCCTTCTGATAATCACGTTGGAGTCACCAACTTATTTCTCGAAATGAGGATATGACTTTATGGATTATACTCTTTTATTATCTCAAGGCCTATCACATCTTGTCTTTTCCTTTACTTGACTATAGAATCTGTAGTCCTGTCATATTTTGATTTACCGTTATCATCCATTTATCACATCTTACTCATAATGCTTCATTTACTTTTTTCTTATTGTCCTGCTAATATTTCTATCTATCACCTTATTCTGAAAATTTTAACAAAATATTCTTTCACTTTTAGCCCCTCTTGATTCACTTCACTGGCTTTTCGGGTCGCCTAACACTCTCTTTTTACTAGGGACGAGAGCTATACAAATATAAATATTTATCCCTTCTAGGATTCCAATGCCAGTCTTCTGAAATTTCTGAATATTCTAGTGTTCATATCTGACTGTACTATTCTAAGGTCGTGTTCTATGGCAAAATGAAGATAAACACGGCCTAAGACCTATATATATCAAGTTTGAAAAAGTCAAAGAGGTGCTAGCTTGGCACCCTCTCATTGGCCCATCTTCCGACACTTATATCTTTTTATCTGGATGTTGTACGAACGAACGATTAAGAGAGTTGAAAACTACATTCCACGACCTTCAATTTGGTATATAATATGTCCCAAAAAGACCTCATATAACACACGAAATGTATTGCTCAAAAAGCTTTAGTGACACACCTACTTGTCACCTATGCAGTCTCGCGAAACTGCAAATATCTCTCTACTCCGATGTCGTATCAACAAACGGTTTAATGCGTTAGAAAATAGACTCGTAGATATTCAATTTGATATGTGGATCATCCCGTAATTCCAAGTATATTGGAAGAAAAGCTCCGCAACATTTGACCTAATTTTCAGCACCTTTATGAATGTAACTTGTGATGACCTTTGCCAACTTTTGTTCCACAACTCGCTTGACTTAAAAACGTAACACACGACTATCATAAGCGTAAAATAACTCATAACATAACCTACTTATCATGTTAATCACCCTATTCTTATCCCAAGATTACATGTTATAATATTCCCAACTTGTCGACTTTCGGCGAAACTTATTTTTTTTAGTTTGCTTAGCTTCTAAATCTTTTAACCCTCTTGGTACTTGTTATCTATGATCTTAAAGATTTGTAACCTCCAAGGTAACATAATTAACTTACCATATGTACTTTCAAAAATGATCTCATTTCTGAGGTTACATCAATTGACTTATGACGTACTCTCACGTACGAAAACATGTGGTGTAACAGTTTCATTGGATAAGAAATAGGAATTTGAAATTTAATTCAAACAATATGATCACACAACATGATTTATATTCTCAGCGCATTGCGCGGATACTATATTAGTAAATTTTAAATAGCTACTTCTAGTCATTTTTTTAAATTAAAATCAAACTAAATTTGATCAATTTTTAAAATTCAAAACCAAAATCAAATCAAACAAATTTTATTTTTTGATCGGTTGGATCGATTTTCTGGTTCTTATAAACACCCCTCCGCAACAATCAACCTTTTGGATTAAAGATGGTTCATTGCTTCTATTTAATAGACCGAACCTGACCCGAAATACTCGGTTCAAGAGGAAAAACAAAGATAATCCTAAAATTTCCAAGGTTAGCTGAAACTTGAAAGATACGTTAGACAGAGTAGAGAAGGAAGATGAGTGAGAGAACAGTGCCCAGAAGAGAGAGTCCATGGGGTTTGCCTGAGGGTGATACCAGACAACCTAAGGCCCATCGCTGCAACGACCGCGTCGAGGATGTTGTTCAGGTCTTCATTCTAAACCCCTCTCTTTTAACCCCTTTTCTCTATTTATCCTTCCAAGTCAGAATTTCGCCCTGCAGATTTATTAAATTATTGTTCTTGTGTTTGATTTTTTATATCAATACTGATTCATGACTCTTTATGTGTATTCTTGTTGGCATTTTAGTCTAATTGATTAACTGTTTCCCTATTAGATTCTAAAAAACACATATTAACTTGGATCTGTTGTAAGCCTGGAGTTTGAACACTGAAAGCTGTTTCGACCATCTTGTCATTTTCTGAAAATGAGAAAAAAAACTGATCTTGGGTTTTGACATACCACATGCCTAAAGCTGGTTCTTGCTCTGATATCATGTTTAAAATGGACTTTGGACCAAACTCAAATCTTAAAACATTGCTCAAGTGGTGCGTATTGTTCAGGAGCATATAAGGAGACTACAATCCATACACTTAACTGATTTTGGGATTTTGCTAAAAGATGAGGTCAACTAAAAACCATTTAGCTCTACTTTCTAACTGTAAAATCCATGATGCAAAACCTAGATGCAAAAGTGATGGTTTACTAGTCTACAAGTAGGTAAAAGAAGAGTTAGGAAAGGATGAAAGATGACGCTTGTGCAATTCAAGAGTTGTTCTTTTGACTGAGAATAAATCGTCCCACTTAGAATTTCTTCCCTAAAGTAAGGTTGTTTAAACAACACAAGTTTCACCAAAAAGTCGTAGATGTCAACTTTTACTTCCGATTTTGTTTGCTTTAATAAATGCTTAGTTGCTTAGGAATTTCAGAACCTGATATTCTACGCATAGTTTACTTATAAGTTATAAGCAATGAGAAAGCTACATATTATGTACTGCTACAACTAGTGGATTAAATAAAAAGAAAGACTTGAAGCATCCATAGTAATGGGCCATTGTCTGCTTTTTTGATTCACTGCAAACCATTGAGCTACTAGAAGAAACTTAGCTCTGGAAAAAATTGTATCTGTTCTAGCTTATAGACCAAATTGCACTTTCATCTAAAAAGAAACATAAAGCCTTTAAATAGCTGTACGATAGCTAACTGTGAATGATCAATGTATAATCTATGTATGCTGGCTAGAAAAAGTAAACATTGAATCTGGCTGGCTATTTGTGTAATAATCTCATTAAAAAATTAGGGTTTGGTGGGGGTGGGGGGTGGGGGGCTGCTATAAGTTCGATGTACCAGTATCTATTCATTGGTTGCATTCTGCCCCTATTTCCAAAATCAGATATTCAACTCTTTTGAATGTTCTGAGTTCGCCACTGCTGTTGCAGATTCTGTAGTATTACCAGTGCACATGTACATCATAGCATTTTGTGCTTGTTTATCTTTGCTTTTTCAGCTGAAGTATTTTTAATATTATGCAGGCGTGTTTTGAGGGCAATCCATTTAAAACGATACCAGGGCCTTTCAAGCTATTCTGGCGGTGCATGCGTTCAAAGCCTGGGTAAGCTTTAATTCATTCCATAGATCTACTTTGATATGTTGTGGTGTTATGTCATTCTATGTCATCTAACACATAACAACCATCTTCTTATAAATATTGAATTTCAAATTTAAATATTGGCTTACTTTATTTTTTATTTTTCGTTTATCCATAAAGAGATCTTGGAGTAAAGTTGAAAATCTTGAACAATTAGTCTATATAAAACCCGAAAAAATTGTCATTTATATCAAAAAATATGTAGTCGTGCCGATTGTAAATACATAATACAAATAGGCCAAAGCTTTTATACGCAGAAGTCACATAAGCACTAAAATCTTTGGAGCCAAGTGTCAAGTTTTGACAATCATGAACTAGGTTGTTTGGTGCCTGAGCTTAGATGTTGCAAAAGAACAACTCGTGACAGCAATGAATTTCAGTCTCAACATCTTTGAAAGTGGTAAGACGAATCATGTGGAAGGAAGATTTTTTCAGGGGGTTGGAGAGAGAAAGGGGTAAACTTGAAGAGAGAAGCTAAGAGAAGGCAAGAAATCGGGGAAAAGATACAGTAAATATTGAAGAATACTTGAGGGTATGTCAAATAGCTTTCAAATCTTCAAAAGTCCGCTTGTTAAATATTTTGTGATTGAGGCTAAAGAGATAATTTTCCAACACTGAAACAAACAAACAAGTAGGAATCGTATAAATAAGAAAAAGAAACAAAGAAATACAGTTTGGATGAAGTGCCAAATATAACTCCAAGCAATTAATTGAAAGTTCTCTTATTTTGCTTTTAGTTGGTATAAATTTATGTTTTTTTTTGGTAAGAGGGGAAATCCGCAGCCGCTAAAACCTCTGCCCTTCGGGTGAGGACTCTGTGGTGAGCACTTTGTGCGCACTGGATAAACCTCCCCCTGTGTAATAGCCTGCAAACCACACAGGGGATGTAAACCGTACTAGGCAAGCCCTGTGCGACATGCTCAACCCAGAAGGCATTGAGGGGGATTCGATATCCTCCAAACCAACTGGTATAAATTTATGTTCCTATCGTGATAAAGAAAAGGCCTATCTAACTTTCTACGCGACATGGTTGTGCAGGGAAGAGCCAACTGAGCCATTCTATTACTTGCAGTTGGAGCCCCCCAAGAGAGAAGTGCACCTTGAATAGAGCCTTGCTTTTGCTATAATCGAAACCTTTAATAAGGTTGTTTACTATCCTGTCGCTCTAGGTTGTGTTACTTGACGATAGGAATCTGCACTTTGGAAGGTTGTTCCCATCAAAATATTCCCCCAATGAAGATTGAAAGTTTATATTCGGTTTTCCTCTGTTTTCTAATAAGGGCAGATATCTAATCTAAAATGATGATATAGATAGAACTTCGAGATACTACACTATTCTGATTGTTATGTTTGTTGGCGACTACTGAATGGGCTCCGGTTGCAACTTCTATCCTGTGAGTTTCTGATACGGTGGAGATTTCATTCCTCGGTGTCTGGACTCCTGTCTCTCTCTTTGTTGCGTTTACTTTAATGTATGCTTGTTCCTGGTTGTATATATTCGATTATTTTTTGCCTTTAACTTCTAACTTCATAGGATTTCGTTCTACTGTTTTTATATGATATTTTCTTAACATGTTTGGCATCTCTAATTTGTCCATTGGAACTTCATTGATGGTAATGTTATAGAAGTATGGCTCATAATGTGATCAATGAACTTGACTAGAAGGTAGTAAACCCTATATTCTAAGAAATTTGCAGAACATGCAATTTGAACGTCATTATATACAACAAGAATGAAATAAGAAGGAAAATTTTTCTCCATTGCATAAGATGTCATACGAAGGCAACCCGAATTTTCACTGGTTGTAGCAATACTAACAAAATCCAGTGACTGGTTGGCTGAGAACCATTTCCTTTTCCTGGGGTTTTGTGGATTTTTCGTATCTACAGTCATTGATCAGTTTGCTACAAAATGGAAGTAAAACTAGAAGTCAATGATTGGTTCTCCAATGGTGAGGTTACGTTCCATCGTCCAGGGTAAGTTGAAGAGCTTGGCTGTGATGAACTTGAAGATCTTGTTGACATTTATGTTGTATGTTGCACTTGAGAAGAATAGTGTTGCATTCAGTGCTTTTGCATATGCTCTTGCCTGTTCAAAATCACATTGAAATGCTGTAAATATCAGTTTCCTTTCATGATCTGACCAAAATCAACAAAAAATATGGTACTAAGTACATATCCAGTAGTTCAGAACAATAAAAGATACAGAAGGAATAAGTATCTCTATTTATGTTCCCAATAACTGAATGGTGGATTTTGCTCAAACTATCAATTTCAATTCCTTTTCCATGTGTTACATCTGCAGTATGACTTTTCCTTGCTTATCTTAGAACCCAACACCTTCACTCCCTCCATATTCCTTCTACAAGCTGATGATATCAAAATTTATCCGTCTTTAAAAGGCAGCTCGGTGCACAAGGCAATCAGAGACGAAATCAGGATTTGAACCTTATGGATTCGGGATTCTAGTTCGTTTATGTTTCTGGGTTCTAAATTAACAATTCATATGTATTCAATTGAATTTTTTAAGACAAATACAAGGTTTAGACCAAAGTTACTGATTTCGGTCGAACCTGCAAATCCTATGCTAGCTCCGCCCCCGAAGGTAATTTCACGTTCGTGCAAGGTCTGGGAAGGGCTGGACCCAAGGGGTGTGATGTAGACAACCTAACTTAATGCAAGCATTAGTTTCCGCTTCCACGACTCGAACCCGTACCCTATAGGTCACACAGAATACAATTTTACCGTTGCTCCAAGCTCCTCTAAAAGAATTATCCGTCTCTCTAGCCACAATTACAATCTTTATAGGGGTCATTAAAGAATGAGACAGATACCTGACTGGCGATGGTCCATTGCAAATCTAATGGCAATTGTACAAAATCATCAAATTTTGTCCCTATCATTACTGGAATTGCCGTCTGAAATGAACAAAGCTATGTCAGACCAATAGACCCTTAAGCAGTTGAATTTGGAAGAAAAATATAACAATAAGAAAATCCAAATCAAGAGATTGCTCTACCTGATTCCATTGTCGTGCTTGTTGATACCAGCTAATAACACTGTAATTGAACAGTAAAACAATTTAGACAAGAAAATATGTTCAAAAACTAGTTTATAATACTCTCATTTGTTTTCCTTTAAAATAAGAAAACATCAAAAATATGATACCTCTTCAGTGTACACCGACTTGTAAGATCAAACATGAATAACATTGCTACAGAGTCTTTACAAGCGATTGGAATTTGTGTAGAGGCAGACAAATCACCTGCATTATTATTTCCAAGTAATTTCAGTCAAATTCACATATTTGCAGATTTAGCTCCCTAATGTTTTGCTACCCTTTTCACAACTAACCAAAAAAAGTTGTTGGATGTATATATACCTTGGACTTCCCAGATACTATAGGAGATCCTTGCCCCTTTAATACACAGAATTTTATCCATTTGATTTAATCCTGTTGTTGAAAAACTTTCTTCTCCTGTTTCCTTTCCTACATACTTTGTCTTCAATCAACATGAAAGCCAAAACCAACGTTAGAAAAAATAAATCAAAACCATCCAATAAAAAAAAAAATGTCGGTGCGCAAAGTTTTCGCTATGAGCGGGATTCGGGAAAGGGCCGAACAACGAGGGTCTATTGTACCGCAGCCTTACACTGCATTTCTGCAAGAGCCTGTTTCCACGGCTTGAACTCGCAAACTCCTTGAAAAACACTATTATTACTATAACACTTACCAGGAAACTTGTCTTGCCAATTTGGTTATCACCCAATAGACATATCTTTAGGGCAACCAAATCCTCCAAAGATTCCTTAGAGTGATCACAGCAGCACTTCATATTAAAGCCACCGTCGGGGACAGCCTCGCCGGACGGCGAAGGCGGCGTGGTGGTGGTGGTAGGAGAGGAAGAGGAATGTTGTCGTGACAATTGCCTATACTTAATGGATTTGCCTATACAGCAACCAACAAGTTGGTTCCAAAGTGACTTCACATACTTTTGAAGTATTGAAACTTTGCAAATTATTTTCCGTTTCTTGTTCAGCTTAAACATTCTTCTATAACAAAGCAGTAAATGCTTCGTCATTTTATTCTTTTATGCTAGTGGTTTTTGAATGAGTTTAAGTGGTGGACGGCCTCAAGAGGAGCTTCTGCTCTAGGCCATGAAAGTGAAAGCAAGACTCTTTTACACACTCATATTTCTTTCCTTATAATAATTATTATAAATTATTTAATTAATTATTTTTGATTTTTTAACATTTATGGGGTTAAGGACAATTGGAGGAGTAACGGTTGCCGGCGTTACGGGGGAAGGGGTGACTGATTCTGTGGGTCAAAAAAGTCAGAATATGTTAAGATGTCCTTGTCTTTATCTGCTTTCTACTCGGTTTGATCCTAAAGAGGAGTTATTTGATAATAATTTATGGTATATTAATTGGTAGTTCTTGGAATGAGGAAACTGTTTGTGGATCTAAGTTTTCTTTTTTTCATGTTTGTGGAGGATATATATGGGACGGGTTGGTTCAGATTTTTTAAATTATCAAATCAAATTAATTGTATCGGGTTATTAAATTTAAATATCAAACCAAACCAATAAAAATCGGATTTTTTAATTTTAGTTTTTCTCTGATTTTTTGGGTTTTCGGGTTTTTTTTCTCATAAAGTCCTCATAGCACAAAACGTAAAATTTATGCTCTAAATATTTCTTTAATCCTAATAAAACAGAACTATATAATGTATTTTTTAATAAAATAATATAAATATGAGATGACTCATGACATTGTACTAAAATATTCAACAATAAAAATAATAAAATTGCATAAAATAAATATTATTAATACGCCATAATGAAAACAAACATAATTTAAAATTATGACTAATAAGTACTATTATTTACATGACTAAACTAAAAGAAAATTAAGTTATACATTTTATCTAAACATGGAAAAACTAAAAAATAGATATCCAACACTATTTTCATTCATAGTACAATTGAATTGAATGTCTTGAATTAGCATTAGTATTGATTTGATTTTGGTTTAGTATTTATTTGAGTAACTAACATTTATGGACTATAAAACTTATTGGAGCATATATCCAAAAATTATAAGCCCAAGCTTGAAATAATATGTTAAAAGATAAAACTATGAAAAAGCTTAAAAAATATTTATAAACTACACTACCATCAATATTTTATGTATTAAATATATTTAAAACTTCTATACATATAATGTCTGGTTGGTTTAGTTTCAATTTTATTTTTTTTTAGTTAAAACCAAGCCAAACCAAATATGGTCGGGTTTTCTTTTTCCAACACCAAATCATAATCGGAATTTTTTTTTCTCGGTTTGACTCAAATTATCGGATTGGTGCGATTTATCGATTTTATTTGTACACCCCTATCAGTGGATCTACTTGATCACTGCAAAATTTAGACTTTGATTACTGCACTTTTCTTTGAATTCGGTTACATATTATATTATTAATATAGTTTAATAGCAACAAATTATTTATTCTCTTTTAAAAATTATCAATTCAAGACAATTGCTTGATTTGCTTATTTTCTGGAACAAAGTAGCCGTGGCAGAACTAGAAACTTCGACAAGGAGATTCGAAAAACCCAAGGACATCACATCTGAATATTTGAATATGTATTTCTCTTATGTAAAGGCCATACAAAATTTTATCCCTCCGCCGCTGCAAAAAAAGCTAGTAGTAATCTTATTATCAAATAATCCTACAGTTAAGGCATTCAATTTGGCATCTTCGTCAGCTATCTATTAGTCTTTCGTTTTATTTATTGCATTTCACCTCCTTCTTAGGTTGAGAGGAAAATAAAATGTAATTATAGTCTGTAGATAAGATAAATATAAGATTTAGAATAATTCTTAAATGTAGTTACAGATAAGGTTTAAAAAAATTCATGTACATGTCTACATGTAAAATACTAGTGAATGAATGCAAAGTGTCACGGGCCCGATTCCTTACGCTCGTCAGCGATACCTAATTGCCCGTGCGGCGCCTACAGTTCCCCTCGCTGCAGGCCAGCCTTTCTCCTTTCCAGGTTTTTCAAGCACGATCATGTGCCCGTGGTAAAGCCTGCCTGGAAGGCATGCTCCAACTTGTGTTACCCGTAAGATGTCTAGGCTCCTGGCCTCGACATGTCGTGGCGCTTCTCGTCTTAGGATCATAATCCATGCGTGCCCTGGGGGCTGGCTTAGGGCATGTCTTGTCCCTCGCCTAAGACTGAGCATCGCTCTCGCGTGCACAACCCAATCCTCAAGCTTGACACTCACCTGGTGTATCTGCAACCCGGCTTGCGCCTCGCCCGAGTAAGGCAACCTTTAGTCCTTGGCCATTGTCATGTGTGTCTTTCGTGCCATGCCCATACATAGCCCTCGCGACACACTTCCATCCCGTCTAGTGCAGTGTCGCCCCACAACTGCACGTTTAGGCCAACGGACCCTTGCTCGCATGGCTGAACCCAAGCCATGCTTACAAGTCGACACATGATGCCCCTAAGATAGGTGCATCAAGTATCCAATCGGCATGGAGGTCTCTTTCCAACATTTCGGCAACTCGCGGAGCATAGCCGTACCACATATCAACCTCCAAAGCCCGTTTGGTACCCAACGCTAGCCCGAAGGCGTCGCGCCGTCCATAGAGTTCACTAACTCATATGGATACCTAGGACGCTCCTTTGAGTCGTCCAGGCAGGCCCTTGAGGTTGCCCTCAAGGTAGCTCATTCAATACGGCTTGGTGGCAACATGTATGGGGGAGGCAGGTCAGAGCTTTCATCACCTATACCCCCCTTATATATGCTTAAAATTAAAAAGCCCAAGTTACTTGAGTAGACAAGTCTACGTCAGACAATCAGAAGAGCCTTTTCACACCAGTTCTTGGCCGAAATCACAACCCCAAAGTGCGGGTTGTTACATCCTCCCACACTCATTATGTCATCGTCCCTGATGATACATCATGGCCTATGACATCCCGGAGTCTTCCCCCTCAGGTATGTACTTCGCGGCACCCTTTGTCCTGTGGGTTGGACTTCCTCGAAGTCCAGCTCAAAAGGAGTCGTGCCCCATGCACTTCTCCCCCAAGTATCTTCCAAGCGTGCCTCTGTACTTCACCTCCTTTCGGTGTTCACTTAGAAAGTGCCTCCGCACTTGTACCCTTTGGTGTCTAACTTTGTGATTGACCACACTAGTCAATCACACCATGACCCTCACGACCTTCATGTCCGTCTGAAGCTTTTCCTTCAATGGTAAGCACATCAACGTGCTCTTTGGCGCGGCTCTAGTAGCTCAATCACTCACATAGACTTATAACGCCCTCCGACATAGCTCCTGTAGCCTTTCGCTCCCGTAGCTTTTCCCTTGCCTTGAAGATGTGTTCGCTTCCAGACTCACAACTTCGCCCTCATGCCTCTTGCATAGGCGGGATCCTCCCACACTTGATGTGGAGGATACTTCTTAGCGTTGTCATCCCACTTGGCATTCGGCCAGATCTTGGGATGACTCTTGGTGAGTAGTACATTCTCAAAGTCATAGCATCGCCGCATTCCCGAACAAAGCTCTTTGTTTTCCAACTGTCACTTCCTCAACAAGTACCCAATTCTCCCGGTAGTAGGTCAATACTCGCCCTATAGACAGGTACTCTCTTGGTCCTGCTAGCACGGTTTCCCGGTCCGGTTGTGCCTCGCACTTGAACTCTCAACGGTCCTCGATCATTCGGCGTACCCCTTTCCAGAATGATGACATCTTCTACCTTGGAAATTCGCTCAATTCTGAAGCTTCGCTATTCCCTCGAATCCGTCTTCTCATATTGGCAATGCCCTCAGGCAGTCCAAAAGTCTATCCCGAAGGAAAGACGCTCAACTGATGCGTCGCGCACATCCTTGGCAAGATCTCCGCTATGATCATGCCCAATGTTTATAGTCCATGGCTCCCACTCTTTGCAATATGGTTGCACGACCTGGCAAACATGGCCTTCTCTTAACCATCCGACTCATCGGCATATTACCGCATTCAGTAGCACCCTATATTTCTTCGACCAGCAGTATCGGGTTCTCGGTCTCTACTGGCATATGAACATAAATCTCTGCTTTGACATGATCTCTGCACTGACATCCAAAATGCACTCGCCATCTCCACTGTTTGCCTTGACATTGTGTCATGGCATAGTATGGCCTTAATCAGCTCTGATACCACGTGTCACAGGCCCGATTCCTTACTCTTGTCAGCGGCACCTAATTGCACGTGCAGCGCCTACAGTTACCATTGCTGAAGGCCAGCCTTTCTCCTTTTCCAGGTTTTTCAAGCACGATCCTGTGCCTGTGGTGAAGCCTGCCTGGAAGGCATGCTCCAACTTGTGCCGCCCATAAGATGTCTAGGCTCCTGGCCTCGACATGTCGTGGTACTTCTCGTCTTAGGATCATAATCCATGCGCTCCGTGGGGGTTGGCTTAGGACATGTCTTGTCCTTCGCCTAAGACTAAGCATCGCTCTCGCATGCACAGCCCAATCCTCAAGCTTGACACTCGCCTGGTGCATCCGTAACCCGGGTTGCGCCTCGCCCGAGTAAGGCAACCTTTAGTTCTTGGCCATTGTCATGTGCGTCTTTCGTGCCATGCCCATACATAGACCTCGCGAAACACTTTCATCCCGTCTAGTGCATTGTCGCCCCACAACTGCACGTTTAGGCCAACAGACCCTTGCTCGCATGGCTGAACCCAAGACATGCTTACAAGTCGACACTTGATACCCCTAATATAGGTGCATCAAGTATCCAATCGGCACGAAGGTCTCTTTCCAACATTTCGGCAGCCCGCGGGGTATAACCGTCCCACATATTAACCTCCAGCGCCCGTTTGGTGCCCAACGCTAGCCCGAAGGCGTCGTGTCATCTATAGAGTTTCCTAACTCATATGGATACCTAGGACGCTCCTTTGAGTCGTCTAGGCAGGCCATTGAGATTGCCCTCAAGGTAGCTCATTCATTACGGCTTGGTGGCAGCACGTATGGGGGAGGCAGGTCGGAGCTTTCATTACCTATACCCCATTATATATGCTTAAAATTAAAAAGCCCAAGTTACCTGAGTAGACAAGTCTATGTTAGACAATCAGAGGAGCCTTTTCTCACCAGTTCTTGGCCGAAGTCACAACCCCAAAGTGCGGGTTGTGACATCCTCCCGCACTCATTCTGTCATCGTCCCCGATGACACATCATGGCCTATTACATCCCGGAGTCTGCCCCCTCAGGTATGTACTCCGCGGCACCCTTTGTCCTGTGGGTTGGACTTCCTCGAAGTCCTGCTCAAAAGGAGTCGTGCCCCATGCACTTCTCCCCCAAGTATCTTCCAAGCGTGCCTCTACACTTCACCTCCTTTCGGTGTTCACTTGGAAAGTGCCTCCGCATTTGCACCCTTTGGTGTCTAACTTTGTGATCGACCCACACTAGTCAATCACACCATGATTCAATGGTAAGCACATCAACGTGCTCTTTGGCGCGGCTCTAGTAGCTCAATCACTCACATAGCCTTATAACGTCCTCCGGCATAGCTCCCGTAGCCTTTCACTCCCGTAGATTTTCCCTTGACTTCATTACCTTGAAGATATGTTCGCTTCCGGACTCACAACTTTGCCCTCATGCCTCTTGCATAGGCGGGATCCTCCCACACTCGATGTGGAGGATACTTCTTAGCGTTGTCTCCCACTTGGCATTCGGCCAGATCTTGGGACGACTCTTGGTGAGTACTACATTTTCAAAGTCATAGCATCGCCACATTCCCGAACAAAGCTCTTTGTTTTCCAACGGTCACTTCCTCAGCAAGTACCCAATGCTCCCAGTAGTAGGTCAATACTCGCCCTATAGACAGGTACTCTCTTGGTCCTGCTAGCATGGCTTCCCGGTCCGGTTGTGCCTCGCACTTGAACTCTCAAAGGTCCCCGATCATTCGGCGTACCCCTTTTCAGAATGATGACATCTTTTAACTTGGAAATTCGCCCAATTCTGAAGCTTCGCTATTCCCTCGAATCCATTTCTCCTCACCTTGGCAATGCCCTCAGGAAGTCCAAAAGTCTATCCCGAAGGAAAGATGCTCAACTGATGCGTCGCGCGCATCCTTTGCAAGTTCTGTGCTACGATCACGCCCAATATTTATAGTCCATGGCTCCCACTCTTTGCAATATGGTTGCACGACCTGGCAAACATGGCCTTCTCTTAACCATCCGACTCATCGGTATATTACTGCATTCAGTAGCACCCTAGACTTTCTTCGACCAACAGTTTTGGGTTCTCGGTCTCTGGTGGCATATGAACATCAATCTCTGCTTTGACATGATCTCCGCACTGACATCCAAAATGCACTCGCCATCTCCACTCTTTGCCTTGACATTGGGTCATGGCATAGTATGGCCTTAATCAGCTATGATACCATGTGTCACGGGCCCGATTCCTTATGCTCGTCAGCAGCACCTAATTGTCCGTGCGGCGCCTACAGTTCCCCTCGCTGCAGGCCAGCCTTTCTCCTTTTCCATATTTTTAAAGCACGATCTTGTGCCTGTGGTGAAGCCTACCTGGAAGACATGCTCCAACTTGTGCCACCCGTAAGATGTCTAGGCTCCTGGCCTCGACATATCGTGGTGCTTCTCGTCTTAGGATCATAATCCATGCGCTCCCTGGGGGTTGGCTTAGGACATGTCTTGTCCCTCGCCTAAGACTAAGCATCGCTCTCGTATGCACAGCCCAATCCTCAAGCTTGACACTCACTTGGTGCATCCGCAACCCGGCTTGCGCCTTGCCCGAGTAAGGCAACCTTTAGTCTTTGGCCATTGTCATGTGCGTCTTTCGTGCCATGCCCATACATAGCCCTCGCGACACACTTCCATCCCGTCTAGTACAGTGTCGCCCCACAACTGCAGGTTTAGGCCAACAGACCCTTGCTCGCATGGCTGAACCCAAGCCATGCTTACAAGTCGACACATGATGCCCCTAAGATAGGTGCATCAAGTATCTAATCGGCACAGAGGTCTCTTTCCAATATTTCGGCAGCCCGCTGGGCATAACCGTCCCACATATTAACCTCCAGCGCCCGTTTGGTGCCCAACGCTAGCCCGAAGGCGTCGTGTCGTCTATAGAGTTTCCTAACTCATATGGATACCTAGGACGCTCCTTTGAGTCGTCTAGGCAGGCCATTGAGATTGCCCTCAAGGTAGCTCATTCATTACGACTTAGTGGCAGCACGTATGGGGGAGGCAGGTCGGAGCTTTCATCACCTATACCCCATTATACATGCTTAAAATTAAAAAGCTCAAGTTACCTGAGTAGACAAGTCTACGTCAGACAATCAGAAGAGCCTTTTCTCACCAGTTCTTGGCCGAAGTCACAACCCCAAAGTGCGGGTTGTGACACAAAGTCACACATTAATTCACCATTTCTATTCATCCACATTAGTCACCTACTTAAAAATCGAGTAAATAAAGAATGAGAAATTACTAAACGAATCGACCTACAAGTACATGATAGAAAAGTTAGTTCATGTGTATACAAGATAGCCAACAAATGGAAAATGGTATTTCTTTTTCTCCTTTTTTTTTTAAATATTTAAAAGGGGAGAAAAACAATTGGACCCTTCATTTCAATTTTCAAATATATGATCATCAATCACGTAATGTTATTTGATTCTCCATGGCCCCCGACGAACCTAATGAGGAGACATTGGACTGATTTAATTAATTAATCTATTGGAGGACATAAATTAATCTAGTATACTCATTGACATTACATAATTTAATAGGTTTAAAAAATAAAAATAAATTTAAAAATGCATGTGAGTGGCATTGATTCGTTAAAACATATTTATATGTTCGTCTCTATCTTTTTTTTTTCTTTCGATTTTTCTTTAATGCTTCGCCTTTCTCTTTTTCTTTACGCCCATCCACTAATTTGAAATTTTATTATGCCTCTAATTAGGTGCCATGTGCGTGCACACATGTTTATGTTTCGTGGGGAGCTATACTTTTGGATACAGAGTGTTTCTCAAATTGAATTATAAGGTAATTAGCTAGACAGGTCTCTTCCTTATTCTATAACGACGAGCATAAACAAAAAATTAAATAAACGACAATAAGAGGGAGGCCTTAGAGCAATGACACAGTTATTTCCGTGTGATCTATAGGTCATGAATTCGAGCCGTAAAAGCAGTAGGCTATCTATATCACACACCCCTTAGGGTGTGGCCTTTCCTTAAACCCTCCGTGAACACGAGATATGTTATGAACCAAGCTCACTCCATATGAGCCTATGGGCTAGAAGTGGTGAATGAGACTAAGTCAATTGGGGTTATTGGGCTGAGTAAAATGTTGGAGAGCTTTATTTGGGATCCAGGTCCATTTAGCAAATGATTAAAATGGGACTAGGGGTTAGTAAGAAGGATTATGCGAATTGTGATGATGAATATGTTCTCTCTCATCTCTGCTCTATATCTTTGATTTCCTGATCTCCTTCTGTACGTCTCTGCTTCTAACCTCCTTCTTCTTATGAGTTCTTCTATCACTACAAGAAATCAGTCTTATTTCGGCGACCAAAGTCGCTACAAAATCCCTGAAAGTCGTTGTTACATGTTATCAGTGGCGACATTTGTGTTGCTACAAGCAAAATCGAAACTGAAAGGTATTTGTGGCGACACCAAAGGTCGCCACTAAAAGCGCATATTTTGCGGCGACATAGTTGCCACAAAAGGTGAAAACATTCGCTACAAAAATGGTTCCACAAGAATAAAAATTTAGCTGGGTCGCCACTGCTATTCACCTTTAGCGGCAACTACTATCGCTGCCAAAACATTTTTGTAGTGGCAAGTTAATGTCGCCACTATAAATGACTGTTAGTGGTGACTCGTGTCGCTACAATATAATAAATCATGAAAGACACAATAACTTTCTGTAGCGACTAAAGTCGCTGCAAAAGAAATAAACCAACAGTGGCAAAATTAACATTGCAACAATTACTAATATTTTGTGACAAAATAATGTCGCCACTAAAACCTATCTTCTCAAAAACTATAATGACCATAATTATATATATTTCCAGTAGGAACCTAATTCTCTAAATTTAATGACTGGATATTTACATCAATTGACTACCATTATTAAAAGCAACTAATAATATTTAAAAAATACCAAAAGAATTTCTCAAACTGAATATTATATATATTTTCATTACTAAAAAGTCAATTACATAATACTACACGATACTTCATTGTGCGTTGTAATTGTAGGCATATACATATCCCAAAAAAGACAAAATATTAAGTGCCTTGTAGTTGCTCCTCGGTCGNTATATATATAAGGAACATAATGAGATTTTTTAATCAAAAAACATGCATAGAAAAACTTCTAAGGATAACAAAAGGGGGTCTACTAAGTTTAAAGATGATGTGCTTCTTTTTATCTTATTGGACTTTCATATTCAGGACAAACTTATGCTTCATTGGCATCTTGTTCCCTGATCAACTAAACTGATCATTTCCCCCTTTCAATTTATCCACTCATTATTCTAATAGTTAAAGAAATCACATTTTTTCATGACGAAAAAGTAAATAGTAATTGCTTTTCTTGGAATACTGTCTTTTTGCAAAAACAGTGTATGGTGATGAACTGTGAACACATCAAGAAAAAGAGAATTTTCAATTGAATCCATGAGGATTATTAGCTCTCTAATTTTCATATATGGATTGGTATTATTCTTCTCGTTGAACTATCCTGCTAAGGTTACAGCAGGTGACAATATTCCATTTACATCCTTCTCAATTTTTCTAGCAGATCATATGGATAGCTTATTTGCAGCTAGTTGCAAATTGCAATCTATTAATTGCTCCAAATAATAAACATGAAGAGGTAATAAAACATGGGATCTTTCTACTTAAGTTATATATAAGAGGGAATATTTGATCATCCAACATGGGATCAACAACAAGGCCACTCATTAACTAGTATAAATTGTCATGAATCAACACTAGGAGAAACCATAGAAGTACTAACTAAACAGCAGCAGCAGCCCACACAACTAAGGTTTGCAAAAAACAGCTACGGTACAACCACGGTTTGCAAAAAACAGCTACGGTACAACCACGGTTTGCAAAATCTAGATTTCAGCAGCAACAACCCCTGAAGCAGCTACGGTACAACTAAGGTTTGCAAAAATCCAGATTTCAGCAGCAGCAGCAGCCCCTGAAGCAGCCCACACAACTAAGGTTTGCAAAAATTCAGATCTCACATAAACAAAAAAAGCCCAATAGTCTATTATCAACTAATTAAACCCCCGAAGCCCACAAAACTAAGGTTTGCAAAAATCCAGATTTCACATAAACAAAAAACAGTCCAATAGTCTATTACCAAGAGGATGAAAGTTAAAGAAGGAGAAGTTGATAAGAAGAAAGGGAGTAAGTGACAGAAGAATTGTCCAGAATGAGGGAAGAAGAAATGCCGAGAAGGAAGAAGAATTGTTAAGAAGCAGCAGAGCAAGTACCTATTGTTGTTGTTGTTGTTGCATTCTGGTCATGAAACTAGCAAATTGTTCATGCATCCTCTTGTCCACTTCTAGATGGATCCTCTTGTCTACTTCTGTATTTGCGTGTTCACGCTCCTCTGCCAACTTCCTTTGCAACTCAAGTTCCATATTTCTTTGCAACTGAGCAGCCATTTGTTCACGTTCTTCTTGCAACTTCCTATCCATCTCGGCTTGCATCTCTTGACGTACAATTTTCATAGCGGAAGACACACTGGACTCTATGTTTGCCAGTTGCATGTTACTCTTTTTAGGAGGCTTCTTTCCGTATCCTTTTCCGCGAACATATCATGTTCTCTCACCAAGAACGGTGGATAAAATCTCATCTCTAGTCATAGGATGCTCGATCTCTTCAGATTGTTGCTGAGCGACAACTTCTTGGAGTTGACCCTGCATTTATGCATAATCATTTACATCAAAACATAATAAAACACACTGAATGTAACTTACAGAAACAGAAAGATAATAAGTTTATCATTTTAGATAATTATATGAATTTGTTGGGATTGTGAATCCACCCACACCAGTTCTCCTCTATCATCCTTGCGTGTATGTTGGATCTCCCAAACTTTATCTGCTGTGTCTATTTCTCCAGTAATAGGATTTCTCTGCAATATAATTTTGGAGAAAAAATATAAAAGCAAATATATAAATATGTAAATAACAAAGAAGCATATGTGATAGTAGGGGACTAAATATATTTTTACCATAGATTCCTCTACTTCTGCAAAAGACCTTGTACCACAAGTATGCTTAGTTATTTGCTTTTCTCTATTTCTTTTGTTCCTCTCACTTACAACCTGTAAGTCAACAGATTAATAAATCACCTTTCAAAGATGTGAATGGTGCCATTTGATTGGCAGAATCTTCAGGTATTAAGTTATTACCTTAAAATCCTGACTTCCAAAATATTGTATTAGGTATTTCCAGTCCTCAAGCTCAACATCTTCAGGTCGATGAGACAATCTTTCTTCATTAGTATTGTACTTAGAGTACAGCCTGCTGAGTCGAGCTTTCCATGCTCTAAAAAGTCTTTGCATAGTGCTAATTACAAAGGCTTGAAACCTATGCTCTTGCAGCCCGCTGTAAACTTCAAATTTATCCTGACAATAAATGTAATATTATATTCGATATCTTAACCACATAAATAAACAACAAAAAGCCAAGAAATTTTGAAGACAGAGCAGCAAGTTCGTTCAAAGATGGAAGGTACAACAGGTTATTACTGGGGCAGCTTTGATGGAACTAGAAAATACATAGAGAGCATTGGGAGCTTTTTCTGGAACATCTCTGCAATGTACTACACTGGTACATTATTCCAAAAAGAATCCCATGGAATGACAAGTTTAACAAGGGCACAACCCAAACAAGGACATCACTGCCTATCATGGGCAGTGTGGGATAACAACAGGCAGCCCAGAACCTCAAAATTCTGGGTAGGTACATTTGAATTCATGATTCAATGGTTATCTGGGCAGTGTATTTTCTACATATGGATAATGCAGATACAAAGATGCTGGACAGGTATATTCACTAAATAAAACCAGTAGCGTGGATGCAACACTGCCCACTTTTTCCTTGCTTCCAAATTGCCACGTCTTTGAAAACTTTCACGACCACAGCTTGTCTCGCCTCTCCCACTTTTTTCTCGTCCAGTTCCTTTCATTTCCTGCAACATCATATAAAAAGAAAATGATTTATCGGACTAGGGAAAATATTAATTCAAATAGTAGAGAATTAAAATCAATTAATTGATGAAATGTTGGAGTAAAGCACTAATTTTACTTCACCACTGATTCTGTTATGAAATTAAAGCTTCAAACATTACGAATTAATTTCATTTAGTCTAATTAGGACAAAAATACAGAGAACTTTTCAAAATAATAAGATGTAGACATAAAGCTACAAGCATCACAAACTAATTTCATTGCAAGTCTAACAAGGACAAACATACAGAGAACTTTAAAAAATAAGATATAGACACAAAGCTTCAAGCACCAAGAACTAATTTCACTGTTAGTCTAATATGGACAATAATATGGACAAAAATACAGAGAATTTTCAAAACACGATGTAACGTCTATATCATCAGTCTTTTGCTTCTTAGTCTTCAAAAGGATGTATCGGTGTCCTCCCCATCATCATCATCAAATAACTCTTCTTCGCTATCTTCACTCTCTGATATTTCTATATGATTGTCATTAATGAAATCATCTTCCTCATTATGCACATTGTTTTGAGCTTGCGTACTTGCATGATCGTAGTTAATACTTTGTGGTTCAACATTATCCCTATGTAGAGACACCTCAACAATATTTTGTTGGTCATTGGTACACGAAATATTAAATTCAGCTTCCTCTTGTTGATAGACTTCTTCATTCAGTAATTCTTCATCTTCCATTTCTACACAATTATCATCATTATCAGGCATTTTAAAAAGGCCGCGAGGATTTGTCTTCACAACAAGCCAATCATTATCGACCATGTCGTCCAAGTAAAAGACTTGTTCCGACTGGGATGCCAACACAAATGGCTCATTTGTATTCAAGGCACACCGAGTATTCACACTTGTGAGGCCATATTTGTCTATCTTATATCCTCTTCCTAAGCGAACCACTTCCCACCAATGACACTTGAATAAGTAAACTTTTCTATTTTACACATAAGATAACTCATAAATGTCCTCTAATACACCATAATACTCCTTATTAGAGTTTGAATCATCTCCTCTCACAAGAACACCACTATTCTGTGTTTTCCTTCTCAATGCAAGATCTTTTGTATGGAATCTAAATCCATTCACCATAAATATTGAATATCAATGTACTAATGGTGTAGGACCAACGGCTAAGCTTATGAGCTCATCATTTGCGCGTCCTTGTGAAGATAGTACAAATATCTACAAAGACAAACAACATTGTTATGACCAATAACATGATGGGATGATTAAACTAATATCAATATTATTAATTAAGTAGACACCTACACGTGCGCGAAACCAATCAAGAAACTCATTTTTATGAGCTCTCATTGAACTTTGGTTTTCAATCGGGTTCGGATTATATCAGTGTGAAACTATCTTGGAGTTAATAAGATACTTACTCCATGAAATGCGAAACCTCTTCACAATTTTGAAACACATACATACATGCTTGTTTAAACTCATCATGAGATAGCCTGATGCCTTCTGAAGCACCTTTTGTTTGACCACTTTTTTTAAAGATAGACATCTCATCATTTGACACAGATCCATCGTCATTCCTAGTTGGTTTATTAAACTTGGTTGAGATATTCTTCAAGTATTGTGAGCAAAATGTGAGGCTTTCCTCTGCCATATAACCTTATGCAATTGAACCTTCTGGACTATTTTTGTTGCGAACATATGACTTAAGTGTTCGCAAATACCTATATAAAATAACTCATTAATAAAATATATGTCATTCTAAAACTATAGCACCGAAAAAATTAATTAATAAATTACCTCTCTATAGGATACATATTCCGATATTGAGCTGGTCCACCAAGCTTTGCCTCACTTGGCAAGTGAATTGGCAAATGAACCATGACATCAATGAACGCCGGAGGGAAAATAAGTTGAAGTTTGCTCAAAATAATAGGAATTTCTACCTCTAGGATATCAAGATCTTCAATCGTCAAGCACTTAGAGTATATATTCTTGAAAAATTTTCCTACGGCTATAATTGGATCATACACTTCCTTGGGTAGCAAACCACGTATAGCTACTGAAAAAATGTCATGCAACAATACATGATGATCATGACATTTCAATCCATGTATCTTTTTTTCCTGTACATTGACACACCTTTAAATGTTTGAGGAAAAGGCATCAGGAACCTTCAGATTAGCTAAGAAATTGCATACCTCCAACTTCTCTTCCGGGGACAATGCATAGCACACTGCCGGTAACAAAATATTATTCTCATCTTCAATTGGATGCAACCTTTGTCTAATTCCAGTGTTCATCAAGTCATATCTACTTTTCAATGTGTCTTTTGTCTTTCCAACCATATTCATGACAGTTGATATAATATTGTCGGACACATTTCTTTCGATGTGCATCACATCAAGGTTATGTCGTAATATAAGACACTTCCAATAAGGTAATTGGAAAAAGATACTTTTCTTCTTCCAATTGTATGCATTGTTATGAACATCACGCTTTCTCTTTTGTCCTTTACCAAAAGTCACATTACCTAAAGCTTGTAATTGCATAAGTGCTTCATCACCTGTTAAAGGGTTAGGCATAACTCTCATTTCAACTTTCCCATCAAATAACGTCCTACTTCTACGCCATGGATGGTCCATGGGAAGAAAGCGACGATGACCCATATAACACAACTTACTACGTAAGGAAGTCGATTGTGTATCTTTATAGAAACAGGGGCATGCAAGCTTGCCTTTGGTTGACCATCCCGAAATATTCCCATATGCAGGAAAGTCATTGATCATTCACATGATAGCCACACACATCAGAAAATTAGATTTTGTGTGCGCATCATAAGTCTCCACCCCGTCCCATAATTCTTTCAACTCTTCAATCATTGGTTGTAAATATACATCGATATCATTGCCTGGAATTAGAAGTGTCATCATGAAATACAGATTTTTCATGCAATCCCATGGTGGCAAATTATACGTAGCTAGTACGACTGGCCAAATACTATGATTAGAACTCATGTTCCCATAAGGTTGGAACCCATCACTCGCCAAGCCTAGTCGAACATTTCTTAACTCAGCTAAAAAGGTGGGATGTTGTGTATCAAAGGATTTCCATGCTATTGAGTCAGACGGATGTCGCAAGACACCATCATCAATATTTTCCTCCTTGTGCCACCACATCGTTTTAGCTGTCTTTCTTGCCATGTACAATCTTTGAAGCCTTGGTTTGATTGAAAAATGCCGCAAGATTTTATGAGCTACTTTCTTGCCTCCGTGTTCTTCGGACTTCCATCTAGACTTACCGCACTTAGGACATGCTTGAATATCAGCATAATCACGCCAATATAAAATACAATCATTCCGACATGCATCTATTTTGGTGTACCCCAAGCTGAGGTCACAAAGAACTTTCTTTGCTTCATAGAAAGAATTTGCCACAAATGACTCCTCGGGAAGAACTTCTTTAAAGAAGCTCAATAGTGCATCCATAGATTTGTTGCTCCAATGGTTAAGGCACTTCAAGTGAAGTAGTTTAACGACAAAAGACAACTTCAAGACTTTTTTACAACCAGGATAAAGTTCTGTCTCAGCATCTTCTAACAATTCGTAGAATTTTGTTGCATGTATATTTGGCTCTTCGTTGTCCTCTGAATTATTATTATTATTATTATTATTATTATTATTATTATTATTATTATTATTATTATTATTATTATTATTATTATTATTATTCGTATATCCACAAGTATCGTGAATCATTTCACTAATATTGTCCTCTTCAATGCTATCATTTTCTGTTTCATCATCACTAACTACAACACTAGAAGTTTCAACTCTAACTGACACTTTTCTATGCAAGTCCCACACTTTATAAGAATCCCAAAAATCCTTCCTCAATAAATCTCCTCTTACACCAACCCATAACTTGAACTCAGTATTCATACACCCTTTACAAGGACACCGAATCATAGTGCTCACCGTTGGTTGACTGAATGCCCAATTAAGAAAGTTGTCTACTCCATCTCTATACCTTTGATCGACTCTATTCCTAATATTCAACCAACTTTTATCCATCCTTTCTATTTAAAAAAGAAAGTTAATTAAATAAAAGTGCAGCGGTGATAATAATCAAAACATATATAATAACTAACATACAAGAGAAATGAACAAATCAAATCACCTCTAAATAAAATGAGAAATATTGCAGCAAGTTTCTACTCTTACACACCTTTTGGTTACAAGGAAATTAACCAGTTTCATAAATAAAAAAATGTACACTGCCACATCTATAAACACCTTATTGATAAACATATTTAACATCTCTTACCCAACTAGGCTCAAAGAGTATTAAATTGATAGTCTCTAAACTCTTTTTTTAAGATAATCAAGAAACAATTTTACATTCAAATTATTGTTTAAGTGGCCAAATACATGCATTTAATTCTACTGTAAAAAATGTGCATAATGTTTCAAAAGAACATCACTTTTCCAAAGGTTGTATTTTCTATATATATATATATATATATACACCTGACCCTTACCCGGACCCCTTCCCTTAAATACCCACCTTTTCTACTAAGTTTCTACATCACTTGCAAAAATCTTTAAAATCAGCTACTGATTTCTCTCTTTTTCTCCAGAAAGAGATGTCCATAAATCATATTTCTTCAGAAACAGTGTGGTGGACTAAACAACAACAATATATGACGATGGACTCCTCATCCAAGAAAACCTCATCANCACCCACCCACCCCACCTGAAACTCAAACACCAACCATGTTTGGCTTCAACCTTAACAACATGAGCAATAACGAAGAGGACGAGGAACAAATCAATGAAGTATTATATTTTTTTATAACCTTACAGTAACATATATGTGCCTTATAAAATTTAAAAGTATCTATATACTGATTTAGGCATTTAGCCATAAAAGAAAAAAATTAGAATGAAATACCAACATGCAATAGGTCTCTGAACAAGAAACTTTTAACTTACCCAAACTAAGATAGTCGAGTTCTGTCAAGACTGAAAATCAACAACAACAACACCAAATAGGCCTCAAATGAGTCTTTCTGTGCAGGTTTTGTTTTTTGTATTTCTGTAGATTATCAAATGGTTCAGAGAAATTCGAGATGAAATCTAAGAATACAAATGTAAAATCACCGAAATAACAATAATCCCTAACTGCATGTTAAAAAATTTGCCTTAAAGAATCCTTATAAAAAATCCAAACATAAATTTATATATAAACTAGTATGGGTATAAACACAAAGGAAAGGATTAGGGTCACTAGCAGCTATATGAGAGAAATCAGTTGTGCAATTCTTCCACCACAAAATCGATATAGATTTGAATAACAGCTATATGAGATTTTCGTTCCTAAAAGAAAAAGGAAAAGATTAGGAATTTGAACACATACCTGATAAATAAGATTCACATTTTGATTAGAGAGATTTAGAGTTGGGTGAAATTTTAGCAGAGAAGTGATTTTAGAGAGAAGGGGGAGGGATTTCTAGAGAGAGGTGGGCTTGTGTGTCTGTGAAGGGTTCAGTTATTTTAATTAGTGTGTCTGTGAGGCTTTTTTAATTTTGTTTTGTTATTTTAAATTAAAATTTCTAGGGTATAGTAGCGGCCCAAATTATCTTTAGCGACAACAAGTTAAAAGTCACCACAAATAATATGGAACCAAAATTTTATTTTTAGCGGGATCGAAAATTTCAACCACATCATAGACGGCCTCAAAAAAGTCACTACTAAATATTTACCTTCTGTAGCAACCTTTAATATCCTAATGCTATAAATGTTGTAGCAACATATAGGGTCGCCGCTATATGTTGCCACTAAAAATTCAAATTCTTGTATTGTATGTAATATCCAAACAATACTACAAGTGAGTTTATTTGTGTGCTATTTGGTTATTTCAAATTTGTTACATTGGTGCTTTCATCCATTGGCTCCAATGGAGGTAATCAGTCGATTCAGCGGCAGCGGCAACCCAGAGAATTGGCTTTTTCGGGCCAAGCGGTACTTCACTTACCTTGGCTTCGCCGAGAAGGATCGGTTACATCTTTCTTCCTTTTACCTCGATGGTGAAGCTCTTAATTGGTTTAATTGATTATTTCGAAACAAGCAATTTTTCGATTGGACGCATTTCAAAGCGAAATTTGCTCAGCATTTCCACAACCAACCGCCATATATTCGGTGAGGTGTTCCGTGGGTTCATCACATGTTAGTTTTGACTACATTGATACTGTCCCTATAGTTTCACAATCAGATATGGTGTCTCCCTTTCCTGTTTCGAGCCTTTTTCCGAAGACATCAGCATTTGAAGCGGCTTATGAAACTGAAAACTCAAAGGCAGACCATATGTTCGATAAATTACCAGTGAAGTATGAAAATGTAGATTCCTTGACATTGATTACTGGAAGTAGTACTGAGATTGTAAATCTTGAAGATATAGCAGCACCTCAAATTTGGAATGGAAATTCAATAGAGGCAGTGGATTTGGTACAGGAACCTTCTGCCATCACTGAAGATCACGTGCTCGACGAAATTTCACTCGCCGTAGTGAGCTCCGACATTCATGATCTTAATGCTCTTGTCCACGAGGGAGATAGTTCTGTTACTACAGTATTCACGGTTTGCAACGATAGCTGCTATGCAAATGCCATCTTCCAAACCAAAGTCCATACGGAGGTGTTAGATGATACCGCCGGATTTGATGATGGGGAGGAAGAAAATTCATGAGATTCTACTATAGTTGGGGTGTTTGACAAACTTTCTCAATGGGATACATTGGATTTCCTCGTTTTTCCTAGCCAAGGAATTGTGGTGTCGAATGCGAGTGTGAGATTTGACGTAATAGAGTTTCCATTTGATGGTACCCTATGGTTTGGAACAATTCCATGGTTGAGTAGTTATCTTGAAGAAATTGGTGGGGTTAATCAAAATCATGTCGCTTTTTGGCTTACATAAATGCAATTGGGTTGATACTGGGCAAGAGCGCAATTTTCCAGGATTCTTGTTGTCTAAATACAGAGAGTGTGCTTGGGAGCAGAAAATACAGCGACGGCTGCAGGTATTAGCTGAAAGTTACTCCAAGCAGTCACCGCATATTCGGGTGGATAAAGCTGTTGGACTCTTGTTTTCTCTGTTTAGTCTAGTTCATAAAGCAAGTTATGTGGACAAGTGGTTCGACACTGGGCAGGTATTTAAGGTTGATTTGGGTAGAGTTGATATGAGTGTTGCACACAATGGTAATTCCATAAAATCTTGCGCAATGTACAAGCTACTGGGAGAGTCTTTAGCAAATTCATTTATGTGTTCTGTTGATGATGCTACTACTCAAATTGAGGAGCAATACATAATTGATCAGCCGAGGTCTTTTTCGAGTGGAAGGACTCTTGAGCTAAGTATGTTACACCATGCTTTAACTTTCACACTGGTGGTATGGATTAATGAAACTATTACTATCAGAGACGAACCACTAGAGTTTGTTGTTTTAATCACAAAGAAGCCTTCATTAGGGATTAATTCTACATTATCTATTCCATGTGCCCTGGTCATGTTTGATATTCACAAAGTTCTAGATGGTTGTTGTTACCAATTGCTTGCTGGACAGTCTAAACTACCATGCCCTCAACTTGGACTTGGGATTGCTCAATGCTTAGGGGTGATACCTTGTTTTCTTTTAGCTTGCAATCATGATCAACTTCTGCACATAGCTTACAATCATGAGCAACTTCTACACGGGTAAATTTGATCCCATATATGAACTTGGTCATGCTGAATTTCTATTAGCTTTGCTCCACCATCCACCTGATGAATCCAGATTAGACTTTCCATTTGACCATGGTTCTAGTTTTGTTTTTACCACATTTTATGACGCTACAAGAAATTGTGCATTCAGGACTGCCTCTGGTCCGAGTCCTACCAAGTTCATGCCCTCAGATGTATGGAATCTTCTTGCAATACCAATCTGCGACATCATTGTTTGGACTATTGTCATATTTGGTTCTATTTTGGATGGTGATTTTTCTTCTACTGCTGAATTTCTTGCTGACATGAGACCGAAAGGGGGTTGCATTGTTATAAGTTTGGATTTAAATTCTCCATTTGGCATCTTAACTGTAGTTTTACAACTTGCAAGCAGACAATTGTTTGACACGGAGAATGCACATAAGGATGCACTACTCAAGATCGTAGGTGCACTTGCTGAAACTTCAGTCCATTACACTGCCACTAGTACATGTTGTTTCTGCTATTCCTTTGGCGCTGACTTGTGGAGAGCGTGCTACACTCTTTCTCGAGCTTAAAAAGTCAATCCCGAACAACCTTGGTGAAGTTGCTAGGACAAGGATCGTGGAATTTAGGGAGCTACTTGCTGGTGCCGATGCTGAACAATGTGTGTTGGAATCTCATGCTGGTGGTTCTTTCACGGTTACGAGGGATGGATTTGGTGACGACCTTGGAAGGGGCAAAAAAATTACAGTAATTAAGTCAACAGTTGAACACCAGGAAGGTGTGACAAATTTTGTTGACATTTTTCCCAATTATGATGCATTTATGGTGGCACAATTGCATATGCAGGAAGGCACCGATTGCATTTTCTCACAAACATACAAAAGGGTGTTTGACTTGGATGCTGCCACGGTAAAACTTACATTTTCCATTAGCGAAGTAGACTTTACAGTACATTTTACAAGGGAGTACTTCACACCTCTTTTGGAAATGAACTGCCACATCTTTTATAATGACAAGGCTTCTGTGAAAACAAATTGGTTGAAGAAATTTCATCGCCAATATGCTCCTGTACTTGACACATACACTCTTGTTTGGTGCGAGTTGGGCAAGAATTCTTTTGACTTCGGGAATTCCATTGATGAGCAGAACCTATTTGATGGCGTTTGTTTGAGGACAAGGTTCTTTTTGAGCGCGGGAGTACTGTTATGAAGTATGAACCAAGCTCACTCCATATGGGCTTATGGGCTAGAAGTGGTGAATGAGGCTAAGTCAATTAGAGTTATTGGGCTGAGTAAAATGTTGGAGAGTTTTATTTGGGATCCAGGCCCATTTAGCAAATGGTTAAAAGGGGACTAGGGGTTAGTAAGAAGGATTATGCGAATTGTGATGTTAAATATGTTCTTTCTCATCTCTGCTCTATATGTCTGATTTCCTCATCTCCTTTTGTACGTCTCTGCTTCTAACCTCCTTCTTCTTATGAGTTCTTCTATGGTAGATCCATTGCTATTCCTTGTAATTGTTTAGTAAGGGCAATACTAGAAGTGAGTTTACTTGTGTTCGAATTGGTTATTTCAAGTTTGTTAGAAGATACTTTGTGTCTTGATTTGTTTCAAAATTAATTTGATGAAGAGATTTAGGTGTTTGATTGAAAACATTAAAAAAATAAAAAAAATTGAAAAACTCTTTCACTTGTACCGCAGTCGTTAAAGAAAAGTCCCTTAGAAATTGTTTTAAATAGTATCTGCTGCTAACAAGTTAATTAGTATTACCACCTATTTGCTAAAACGATTACCTCGCCATTATGTAGAGTTTGATTTGGATGGCTTCACCTTATCTTACTCGGTATTATTCAGTAAATCAATTTTATTGATTAAAATCATCATTGATCAATCAGCTATTATGTATTAACGTTGCGATATAAAGCTAATGATTAATTATTAGGAGTACGTTATATTTATTGATATGTAATGCGTGAAATAATCTGAACATTTATTTCACAACAGTGTTCTGTTGAATAGTCCCCAATTAGTGGTGGCAAAATGGATAAAAAAAATAGTTATCCATCCATATTATCCACTAAAAATGAGTTGGATAATGAACTTTAAAAAACGGGTAAAATATGGATTAAAACCATATTATTGATTTATCCAATGAATAACTTATACATATCTAAAGACTCAAATTAGGGGTTCCTCAAGCTTGGGAGACTAGGAATTTTCCCAAAAGTGATCATATTCAAAAAGCCATGGATAATAGGGTTACCCATATTATCTGCCGGTTAACCCATTTTTTATCCGTATTAAATATGAGTTGGATCGAATAATTTATCCGATTTGCATTACCCATTTTCGATCGGCCCATATTCGATCTGATCTGCCGTTTGCCACACCTACCCACGATCACTATAGGTTCCTTTGAAACTTCTTACACAACAATGCAAAGAGAGGTGAAGAACTTAAAGTCGTAATATACTGAACATCAGATGAACTTACTCAACTTACTGAAAAAGCAAGCAAACTGATCAAAATGTTAATAGTTATCATTTTATGATACTCAGTAGTACAAACGTACCCATGTTTTTCCATCTATTCTTTCTTTCCTACTAGTATACAAAACCAAATTTTTTTTTCTTTTCTAATATATCTAGCCTTCTGTGTGTGAAATGAGGTAATTCAACAATAAAATTGTACATGCATCATTTACATATCAACCATAAGTGTATTGAGCAAGAGCTAACAAACCCGACCACAAATTTTTGTTTCAAACAGGCGAGCTCGGCTGCCCATCTGA